AAATTGCTAACCATAAAAGAAAATATTGATAAATTCAGCTCTATTCAAACTAAAAACTAAAAAGATATGAGAAAGGTAGTGAAAGTACCACTTCTAAAACTAGAAAAGATACTTGTAATACATATAACTCATAAAAGATAAGTGTCTAGAATAGAAAGAACTCCAAAAAATCTAGAATAGAAAGAGCTCTAAAAGAATCAATAGGAAATGACACAACCCAAAAGGGAACAAACATATGGGTAGGTGTTTTCCTGAGATACACGAACATATGATTAAGATACACGACCTTAGAAGTAATTAGAGAAATGCAAATTACATCTACTGTGACATTTTATACACACTGGATTAAAAAAATTAATGTTTGACAACAGCAATGGTTGGTGAGGATGTGGAGCTGCGGAAATTTATCTAGATGTTATTTAGGGCATTGACCACTTGCCCTAGCAGTTACGCTTTTAGGGATACACCCTGGAGAAACCCCTGAATAGATACATTAGAGATCATCTGTAAGAGCTCAGAGCAGCACTGTGCATAACATGAGAAGATTGGCAACAACTAGATCACCCAAATGTTTATTGACCTGAGGATAAATAAATAAATTCCGTTTGCATAATGGAATACCATACATCAGTGTGCAATAAACAAACCAGTGTTTTGTACAAGATGTGTGAGACTTAAAACCACAAACCCAAGTGAAAAAAAAGTCGCAGGAAATAATATCCAGTAATTTTTCTTATGGCATTAAGGGGAAGAAGTTGGGTAAGATGATAGAGGAATTTGCAAGTAGATGCAGCAGCATTAGTAACATTTCAATTCTTAAGTTAAATGGTGAATTCTCTGGGTTCATTTTAGTATTAAGCTTAATAACAAATACTGTATATCTTTCCTTTTGTACACATCTAATAGTACATGGTAAAAATGGAAAAGCACTTTTTTAGCTGGCAGGAGTATTAAAGATTTTAGAAATGTAATGAAAGCCTAAAAATTCTAAGTTGGCCTAACATTGCGGGCTGCTGAACTTTGTGGTCATTACTCAGAAGCTTCCAGGATTCCTCAACCCCTTGTGATCCCAGAGCGCCATCTGCTGGAGAATCTGTTCTCAAAACAGGTTTAATTTTTTTCTTTTCTGGCTTTTATGTTTTGTGCCCAATTTAACGTCCAAGCTAAAAAATATCTGGAAAATCAAAGCAGTGCCATTTCTAGTGCTTCAGTCACTGTTTATGTGTGGAAACGGTTTTGCTACGGTGGCTTTTGGTTATATCGGTATAGGGTAGACACATTGCAACCAATGCTTATTCTTTTAGGAACATGCCCCTGGGATGTGTCAGAGCCATTCCCTTGAGGGACAGTGGGAGAGAGACAAATGCATGCTCAGCCTCCACTCAGCGAAGCCACCCTGTCTCTTTTCATGCTATCCGGCCTCTTCTTCCTGTGCTCTAATTTATTTACCTTAGATTTAATTTGAAACTGTGTCAGGGAAAGAAAAGGGCCACTAAAAAGATGAAGCAGCTGAGGCACACCCAAATTCAGTAACCTTTCCAAATGACACAGCCATGGTAAGTGTGTGGCTCCGGCGTCTGCTTGTGTAACCTCTCTCTCTGATACCTCACCTCTCAGGACATTGCTCCAGTGGCTGCCTCCTCTCTCTCCTGCCATCCGTGTCCCCTCTACCAGATCTTCCTCATTAACTTACAAGCAAATGCTAATATCTCCTATCTTAAGAACCTACCCTTGACCGCGTATCTCCCTTCAGCGCCCCCCTAGTGTCTCTCTCCTTTTCAAATTTCTTGTAAGAGCTGTATTTGCTGTGTCTACTAACTTTTTTCCCCTAATTTTCTTTTCAACCATTCCAGTCCTGATTTTGTCCCTACCATTTCACGGAAACTTTTGTCAAGGTCAGCAGTGACCTCCAAAATGTCAAAGGCAGAGGTGATGTCAAAGCCACACAGACATTCTCAGCACCTCAGAGGTGTTTTCTTCATTTGGCATCCTTGACCCCACACTGGCCTTGGTTTTCCTCCCAGGGCAGCAGTCACTTCTCCGTCTCCTTTGCTGGATTTCCCTCTGCTGGCCAACTTCTAAATGTTCGGTAGTCCAGTGACCCCATTACTTTTTCTCTGTCAGCTTCTCTCTCTCCCAACACTCATTCTCTTGGTGATCTCAGCCAGTCTTAAGGCTTTAAATATTGTTTATTAATTGATGACTCTTAGATTTTTATTTCTAGCTTTGACCTTCCTTAGGCCTCCCACACCTCCACTTGAATGCTTGTAGGCATAGCCATCGCCCAATTATTGTCTAAAATGAAATTCTTGATTTTGCTCTTTATGCTTTAGTCCCCATTTTTGGTAAAGTGGGGGTCTTCCTCCCACATTCCACATTGTAATTATCGGCAGGGCTCCTTCTTCGAGTTACATCCCAGATCAGACCCCCTCTCCCCACATCTAGGACTACACCCCAGTTCAGAGCACCATCCTCTATCCCCTGGATTTTGAAATAGCCTCCTGATGGGGCCCCCTTGCTTTGTCTCTTGCTCTGATATCCTGTTCTCCACACTGCAGCCAGAGTCATTCATTATAAATATATGTCAGGTATGGCCACTGCCTCCCCCTCCCCCTCATTTCCTAGATTCTCTGTCCCTTCCAATCCCCCCACCCCCAGCCCCATCTTTGCCATTCTTTGAACACTACCAGCACACATCTGCCTCACGCTTTTGCCCTTGCTCTTCCCTCTGTTTCCCACTGCTGGGAATGCTCTTTCTAAATTACCCTAAATTAAACAAGAGAATTCATTATTTTGGTATGATTTCTGTTCGAACTTTCCCTTATCAGAAAAGCTTTCCTCCATCTCCCCATCCAGACCAGAGCACCTGGCACCTTCTGTCTTTGCGAGTTTTAATCAGGGTGGAACTTGTATCAGATACCTGTCTGTTTGCTGGATGTCTCCTTGGGTTGGGCAGATCAGCTCTCTGAAGGCAGAGACATTCTTGCCTATTCCTACGACGGGAAACAGGTGCTTGACAAATACTCGTTGAATTTTTGGAATAGTGGCAGGTATTAGTCCTACAAAGTTATAGGATAGGAATGAAAAAGATTAGATGTAATATTTTTTTAAAAGTAAAAAAACCCCACAGCAACAACCCTGTAAATGATGGATGAAAAGGGATGTGTGTGGGGAAAATTGTCTCGAGGCAGCAAAGGAGAGTCTGGGAATTCCTTGGTGGCTTCAGGGGCCCATCCGTGGGGAGGGTGGAGCTTCATGGTGTTCCAAAAAATTAAAATTGGTGAAGCAAAATGAAGTTGGAGATCTTATGTTCCCTAAACCTACCCCACCTGAAGCGTTGAAAATGACAAGTCGTGAATTTAACTCTTAGGGCGACAGTAACGAAAATGATTTTTCAACCATGTTGCTTTTCTGAGTGTCCTTGATCAGTACCCCATCCCCCAGTTCCCTTTCCAGTTGGGCTGGACCATTGATGCAGCCGTTTCCAGTTGTGTGGGCCACGCCTCTGTCAAGAGAAGTTTCAGGAGTGGGTTTAGGTGCCTCTCACTTAACAGGGTGGTAAGTTCTGCACCCTGATGTGGAAGAAGAAGGAAAAGAAAATTGTACCAAAGTAATGAGTTATCTTGTTTAGTCTTGTAAGATACAAAGGGACTGGGGCACTCCCTTTAAGCTCTGTTAGCTTTTCTGTGCGCTTTCTAATGGATAAATTTTTAATAACCCCCAGAAAACAGGAAGGGGTTGTTTTCTAACCTTGTAAATATAAAGGTGACTAGTAAAAAAATTCATATCCCTTGAACTTTGACTCCAAATACACATGATGCATAATAATTATCTGACAGAACTGTGATTTTAAAAGTTTAACACGTAGATGAGGGATGGGCACACATTAGTAGATGAGTCGATAAAACAGCTGTGGTACATTTACACAGTGGAATACTAACTGCTCAGTCGTAAAAAAGAAGGAAATCTTACCTTTTGTGACATGGATGGCCCTGGAGAGTATTACGCTAAGTGAAATAAGCCAGCCAGAGGAAGATAGGTACCGTATGATTTCATTTATGTGTGGAATCTAATGAACAAAATTAACAAACGAAATAAAAACAGACTCATAGATACAGAGAACAAAGTGACAGTTGTCAGAGCGGAGGGGGCCAGGGGCCTGGGTGAAATAGGGGAAGGGATTAAGCGCGCTCGTGGTCACACACACATACACACACACAGACACACAGACACACAGACACACACACACACCCCCTCATAGACACAGACAGCAGCATGGTGATTACCATAGGAAAGGGGGTTGGGGAGGTAAAAGAGGGAAAGTGGGGCCCTGTCGGGGGCGGCTCAGTGGTTGAGCATCAGCCTAGGATCTAGGAGATCATGGCGTCGGGGCACATGCCCGGGTTGCGGGCTCGATCCCCAGTCGGGGGCGTGCAGGAGGCAGCCAATCAATGACTCTCTCATCATTGATGTTTCTATCTCTCTCTCTCCGTCTCCTTTCCTCTCTCTGAAATCAATAAAGACATATATATATTTTTTAAAAAAGAGGGTAAAGTGGGGATAATTGGTGAAGGAAGGAGACTTGACTTCGGGTGGTAAACACAGTGCAATATACAGATGACATATTATAGAATCGTACCCCTGAAAACCTATAGAATTTTATTAACCAATGTCACCCCAATACATTCAATAAAAATAAAAAAAAAAAAGATGGANTTGACTTCGGGTGGTAAACACAGTGCAATATACAGATGACATATTATAGAATCGTACCCCTGAAAACCTATAGAATTTTATTAACCAATGTCACCCCAATACATTCAATAAAAATTAAAAAAAAATGATGGACACAAAACCCCCAAACGCACATGGTTCAACTTGGCTGTGGCGTTTGTTTTAGAAGGCCAGGCCCAGCGGAGGGGGAGTGTGCGGGTCGGTTCAAAGCTTCATTGGCAGCCGCTGTGCTTCCTGGTGTTTCTCATTCATCTCTTCCTGTCTAGAGGGGGCGGACGGTGATGACGGCGAGGAGGAAGATGAGGAGGAAGATGAGGAGGAGGAGGAGGAGGAGGAAGATGCCGAGGAGGATGCCGAGGAGGACGCCGACCCCCTGGACGAAGGCCTGGCGGCCGACGCCGAGCCCCGCGGGCCTGCCCTCCCGGGCGCCCCCTCCCAGGAGCCGGGTGCCCAGCAGGCCCGCCTGCACCTCCTGGAGGGTGCCACCTACCAGGTGCCAGGCGCCCTGGCCTGGGAGGAGCAGAACCAGGGCCTGGGTAAGAGCCGCGAGCCGCCCCTGTCCGGGCCCCCCTCCTTGTGCTTTTCTAAGGGGACACGATTGTGGTGCAAGGTGGATTTTCTGTTCGTGTTTATGGACGGTCCACTTGGGGTGCAGTTATCAGGTTTTTCTTCAGCGTGTTTATATTTAACACTCTTAGGTAATCAGGCTCGCCACAGCCTGCGCCTGCCCCCCCAGAGCGTGGCTCCCTAGCCTTTGGAAGGAATCCCCTCTTTCCTGTCCAGCTGGAGGGCAGCCCTAGCTTGGGGAGGGCCTCCCAGCGGGAGGAAACGGGGTACCTGGTGTGCCTTATGAGCAGGGTGAATGGTCTGCAGTCGGGAAATCAATGTATTTTGTCCCCCTTTGTCCTCTTAGACTTGACTCCCTAGGGGAGAATCTAGTCTGATGACCGTTCTGTTCTCTCTTGTGGCTGCCACGGTCGGACAGTCTCACTTGAGCAGCCAGTGTCCAGACAGCCCCACGCTTGCTTTCTCGGGCATGGCCCACATTTTCCGTGAGAGACGCCACGGAGGCAGGCTGACACNCATGGCCCACATTTTCCGTGAGAGACGCCACGGAGGCAGCCACTGGGCACTCTCCTCCCTGTCAGCAGGGAGGCCCCCTGACCGTCTTCTCTTGGCTCTTTCGGAAGAGATGCTGTTAAGCTTTGGGTGATTCCTTGAGGCCTCACTCTCTTGACCTGAGGTAAAGAGACCTCTTCTTCAAAGAAAATTCTCTTTGTCCTTAACAGTTGGGTCCATTTGTCATCTTCAGTGTAGCAGAAGTTAGGTTTAACAGTCATATAACTCATTTTGGGGGATTTTGTTGAAAATATGGATGCTGGTCTGGGATGTCACTTTGGAATATCATACCAGTGTGTCTTGGTGCCTGGCTGAAACTTCTAATTTAGAATCCTGCTACATCTTATTTCTTAAAGAGTGTTCTCCTCTCCTCCCATGAAAACTCTCTTTTAGATCAGGGGTGAGAAAGGTGAGTGCATTCAAATGAGTATGGAATGGAAAAGTCACAGTGCCAGTTTATCGCATGATTGGGTAGCTTAAAACAAGCGCTCTTTTTTAAGTTCAAGCTGGAATTGGTAAAACCTTTAAAGGTTTGCAGTCTGAGGAGGAATCCTTTTCATAATCTCTAGAACTAAAGAAACATGCATGAGGATGTTTAAAGCCATCTTTTCTCCCTTATAGGAATCTTCAATGAACCGTCTTTTAGATTTGGTTAATTAGTTTTTCTAATCTAACAAACCTAATTGAGCACCTACTATGTTCCTGGAACTTTGAATGGCATTTGGAAAAGAGGAAAACAAGGCAGTGCTTTTTCTTGATCAGAGCAGAGCCCATTTCATCAAGGTTTCAGTGCAGGGAGGGTTTCTATGATAAAAGTAGTTGTAAGAAGGCAGAGCAGAAATGTAGAAGGGGGTTATTTATATTAGCTTGGAGTGTGTAGAGCTGTCGCGTGTAGAGTGTGTAGATAAGAGAGAGCTTGCAGGGGAAGGAGGCCCAAGAAAGAATTTGAACAAAGGCATTGGAAGGTTCAAAGAGCACGGTGCATACAGATGGGTTGGCAATGACATCTGTTTTATATCAGATTTTCCCCTGTTATAATAGTTTACCATTTTCTTAAATGTCTCTTACCTTTTACCATCACTTCTTTTCCTGATAAATTCATTTTGTTCACATGGTTTTAGCATTGTGGGTTTTCTGGGAACCAAAACACGGGACAAATCTGTCAAACTGTTGGTTTCCCTATTGTGGGAAGACTGTGTTTGAGTGGCGTCTGGGACTGAAATTTTATTAGCTCATTGACTTTTCCTTGGAGTAACAAGAGTATCTCCTCATAAATGAAAACCAGTAACAACTTCTGGGTCAATATTAATTGATACGGTTTCCTAAATGCACTCAGATTAGGTGAAATAAAGGAAAACCTCCCCTGTTTGTGATGAATTTTGTGGTAGGCAGAATAACGGCTCCCCAAAGATGTCTATGTTGTAGTCCTTGGACTCTGTGACTGTGTTACCTTACATGGTAAAAAGGACTTTGCTGATGTGACCAAATTAAGGATCTTGAGATGGGGATGTCATCCTGGATTGTCTGGGTGGGCCAGATAAGGGGAAGTTAGGAAGGTCAGAGTCAGAGAAGGAGATGTGATGACAGGCACAGGTCAGAGTGATGTGGCCAGGAGCCAAGGCATGCTGGCAGCCTCCAGAAGCTGGAAAAGGAAAGGAGATGGACCCCCCCCTTGAGCTTCCAGAAGGAACAGAACCCTGCTGACGCCTTCATTTCAGCCCCTCAAGACCTATTTCAGATTTTGACCGTAGCACTGTAAGATAATGAACTTGTTACTTTGAGGCAGTAAGTTTGTGGTAATTTCTTGCAGTAGAAATAAGCAACTGATGCAGATTCAATGAGTATTTTATAAGCGGCATCATTTTAGAAAGTAGAGTTGTATGGCAGCTGTAGTCAGAGTGTGAACATTGTAAAATTCAGTAGGTTTTCCTTAATGAATCATTAAAAATGCAAGCATTGAGACCCTTTAGAAAGTAAACCTATTTAGTATAATAAGACTTTAATTGGCCATCGTCTTCATTCCTATTTTTAAGTGAGTGGGTTATTTTTTTATAGATTGTCACATTTTATGTGGCAATGTGAATGGTACTCTAAATCAAATGCTAAAACCACATAAACGTTGAAAAATGAACAGATTGAAGTGGGTAGTTGGGATTGACTAAAAATAATGCAAATTCTTTGAATAGCTTATAGTCTCATTTCCTGTGAAGAGTGGAAAACTTAGATGACTTTCTGAGGCGAAGCAGTAATTGTCATATACACGTTGCCTCTAGAGCTTTGGAAGGAGAGAGCTCAGCTTGACTGTGGAATGAACTGTGTTGTCAGGATAGAGGGACTCAGGAGAAAAAGTTCCATGTGATGGGTGAGGTGGATTGACTGGTAAAATGCCAGTGGCATAGAGTAAGCTCTTTATTCACATGTACAGAATCAATTTCTTTTATGATCTAATAAGTTCATTTTCAGATTTACTGGCAAGAACCTGTACAAAGAGCAGATGCTTGACCCACACCACTTCTCCAGTTACTATGATAAATCACACAATTATCCTTTTTGAAGTATAAAGTCAATATGACCCAAGTTGGGTCAACATATCCATTTTAATGTTTAAACATTTCCAATGTAATTAATACCTGGAGATTCTTTCATTTTTATATTCTATATCTGTTAGGATGCCTTGAACTACATACAGGTAGCAGAAACCTTAACTTCAGTTGGTTTAAAGAGTGAAGAAATATATTTTCTCTCACTACAGGAAGTCCAGAGATAGAGCTCTTGGGTCAGTTGACTCAGTAACTCAACTGTCATGAACTGACTCAAGGTTTTTACAGCTTGCTGCACTGTCCTCCCTGGTGCGTTGACTTTGCCCCCAGGCTGGCCTCTCTATACAGGGTTGGGCAAAAGTGAGTTTACAGTTGATTGTATGGAAAATAATACAACAATTAATAAATAATAATACAAGAATAAACTCTGTTTCAAGTACTCACAACTGTAAACCTACATTTGCCCCACTCTGTAGTTGCAATGCCTGCAGCATTTTCAGGTGTCCTGGGAAAAGGAGACTGTTGCTTCCTTTTCACTGTGTTTCTTTCTTATGAAAGAGGAAGCCTTTCTGAGACTCCCCAAGTAGAATTCCTCTTGCTTCTAATTGGCCAGGATTAGGTCATATTGAAACGACATTAGGTCATTTCTAAACAATCATTGGCAAATGGAATTTGATCACATGACTGGTGCCGTGGATGGGGGTGGGTTTCAATCAGCCGTCCTGTCACCCATGATTTCTGTGCTTTTCTGTTTTCTTCTCTTGTTGCCGATACTTACCCATGTCTCTTCTACCCTCTAGGAATCCTACGAGCAGTCTTGTAAAATTAAAATCTTTAAGTATATTTTGAGTTTGCGAGTTCTGGATGAGGGTCTGAAGGTGGCATTGTTCCATTTTCTTCCTCAGTAAGAGACTGCATTGGGGCACTTTACAGTTTGGTTGATGCCGTGGATGGACATATCTTCCAAAAGCCATCAGTTAGTTACGAGCAGAATTATTATGGCTCTCTTCACTTTTCTTCAAAAACCTGCATCAAATATTAGAATGGGCTCTTGATTTAGGAAATGGAATATTTTTTTCTGGAGGTCTTAAACAAACCTGATATTCAATTAGTTTTCTAAGGATGTTTGTGGAAAGCAAAGGAATGAAGAGCACTCATGTATCTATTATTTTAATTACACATTCATTGAGTACCTACAAGTGTTTGTTGTATGTTGTGGAAATACTGGGAGTCTGGCTTATGAAGAGAGAAATTGTCCTGGGGCAGAGAGTGGCCCCATAGATGTGAAGTCAGTGGCTGAGCAAATCCGTAGCAGGGACCTGAATCATCACTATAACCAGGGGTTGCCTTGAGTGGGCAGCCATCTGTGAGGTGTGACTTCAGGGGTGCTTTCCCCAGCCCTCTAATTTATATCAACCTTCCTGCCTAAACATGGTGCCTACTTTTAAATATTAGAGCCTTCCTTTGGATTGAGATAAAGCATCTTGAGAAGGCCTTAGAAAAATGCGGATCTGCTATCTGGGTAGATAACCCATTAAGATAGTATCATTTATTTATCATCATTTATTAGTATTAATTTATCAAGTTCATTAGTGGGTGATTTACAGGATTTTAAGGTTAAAGAGAAAGGAACCCAAGACAGATGTGTTTTTGAATTGGTAGGGAGGTGGGATGAACTGCAGGCCAAGGGTGTGGCGTTTGGACCGTATAGAAACCGAGCAATGGACCGTGAGAAAGTCAGACTCTTAGCTCTAAAATGTGTCAGCTCTTCTTTCTTTTCGTTGTCCTCTCTCTTATTCTCTCTTATTCTTTCAAAATACTATGTAGCTAAGACTGAACACTTAAATATAGTGCAACATGGGCTCTGGCAGAAAAAA